GTCAGGGCGATCAAGCTTGAGTACAGAGTGTCGAAACATTTTCGAGAAAGCTGGATGATGCCAACATATTGAAATGAACAGTAGAAGAATGGGCGCCATAGCTACTAAACAAGCTTGTGCAACGACAATGTCAAACAAAAGTTCACCGATATATCCCAACAGGGTTTGACGATTCCATGGCAATATTACTTTACCCGGGTGACTAAGATATTTTACATCAAAACTTCCATGTACCATCCAGCAGAGAAGAATCGAAGCAATGGACAAAGTCACTAACATCACAGCAGCGGGAACAAATGCATATTTCAAATAAATTTTCCATAACCATTCACTTCGGTGGTTTGCCTCCTCTAAAAATCGAAATGAGTCGTTGTTGGCATCTATGTGAAGAAAAACAAAAGCAAATAATTTCCTATCAAAAAGTTGTATAAGCTCATTCCCCGCGAGACATTTTTTTCTCGAAAAAAGTGAAAAATTCGAGCATTCATTTCACTGATGCCATACGAATGGGTTAGAAATTTCACTCAAAATTGATGTGGAACATATTTACTTACGTTCATCGTAAATCTCGGATAATCGTCCAATGATCGCCACAATTTTATTTCGTTGCAGAAACGCAAACACCATCACATACATCAGGTTCAAACACAAAATGATTTGGAATAGTGCATACAAAGCTTCTACCAAATCGATTGTTAGAAATTTCAGAAAAAACATCAGACTCGACACAAAAAGTGCAACGAGCAATGCAAAAATCATTAAACCAAATGCAATGTGACCGAATTTATCTCGTTTGCATGTATTCGCATCGACAGGATATAAACCGACACACGTCAGTGCTCGTTGACCCATCGCCAACGGCTTTATTTTGCCTGAAAAATTCACTTGGATTGGATGAGTAGTTTTCAATGAATTGACTGAGGTTGCACTGTTTTTGTTTTCCATTTTTAAGAATTTTCAAACGAATTTTGCTGTCGATATATAATAAATGAATTTATTTATACAATTTTGAATAAGATCAAATTTGGATTTAAAGAGAAATGAAATGTTTTAAACTCTGTGAATATTCTTGTTGATTTTCTCTTTCTGATTTCTCACCGTCTGAAAAGCCTAACTTGAACTAAAACCTTGAATTTCTTGCATTACGTTCATATCAGAAATCGTAATTTTTCAACTGAACAACACATATACATTTTCATGAACTAAATAAATTGAAAATGTTCTAATAATCGATCAATGTAATAAATGGGAACTGATTGGGCTATTTGCTTCGAATGTATCAAACTTAAGCTGGGAAAATGAACAAAGTGTTCATATAACTTCATTTGGATTGGATCGATACGTTTTTATAGGCAATTTTATCGAAAATTCCTAGAATTGAGCAATTTTCAACTTTGGTTTAATCACTTCATAAAATGGTTCTGTTTTTAAACAAAAACTTTTTGTGCTTTCTCGTATGAAAAAAAGCATTCCAAGCCAAGTCTTTTGTTCTTCGTCCATCGAAAGCCTTGAGCTGTACAACAAAATTTGTTGAAAATTTCATAATTTCTGGTCATTTTTCATCATTAAATTGATGAAATTTGATAAACTATTTTTTTTGGATCGAATGTATGTATTTGATAATGTGTTTATTTTTATTTTCTTGAGAAAAACGAAAACAGTTTTCTGTTCTAAACCAATTCAATTTCAATATCCATGCGTTGTTTCTCCTTTCGCATAGTTGGAGATTCTAAAATTTTTAAAATTTAATTAATTCAAAAATATCTTGACCAAAACAATTTTTCAAACATGCCTTCAAAACACAGGCGACCAATCCAAGGAGAAAAAAGATGCAAATCGCTGTTTCTACTTTCACAACTGACACTTAATTGCGTCATGTATTCGTAACCAGACTTCAAACTCAAAGGTATCACGTCACACGCGCACAACTACCGCAATTAGGGCTCATCGATAGAAGCTACGATAAAACGGCAAAGGTCACACTTTTAGATACACGTGTTGACGTGTTGCTTCACTTATAACCGCGTTTTTTCTTTTGCTTAAACACACACAATTTTTAGGCGAGTCTATTGCGATTGAATGACCAAAACAAAGGCATCAAGGTCAGTTACAAATCATTTATGAATACGATTTTGAACGATGGCTTCCCACAATTGACCGCTTTATTCATCTGATAAAATTTGTACATAGCAAATCTTTAAGATGAATATTCAAAATAAATTTTCGACAAATCACATGTTTTCCAAATGAAGCGTAGTTCCAAGAAAATGTAGAATTTCTTCTCGTTTTATCACTCAATATCAGTCAAACCGACCAGCTAAATCGACATTCCTTGATGCAATTAAGCGATTGAGGTGGTTGCTTTCCTTCGTTTTGCCGTGAAAGTGGTAAAACAAATGAAGCATTCGCATAAATATTCATTTATGAAAATTTAAAAAAAAAACTACTCAATTGTTCATGGGCTTAGCACTCAAAGTGGGCGGATCCAACCAGATAAATCGAAAATTCTCGACGTAATTCAGCGATTTTCCTTCGTTTTGCCGTGAAAGTGGCTCAACAAAAATCAAATTTTTTTTTCGATAGCCCGAGAAAGAAGTACAATCACTACATTCAACTACATTAAATCTACAATTCAAAACGACCAATCCAAAGTTATTTCGGCACATATTCCAAGATTTGAATATCCATCCAATCTTTAAAAAAAGTGTCAACAATTTATTTCTAATAAACGGTATACAAGTTTTTTTTAAGTAAAATCCTTGTTTTATCCATTATACCGGTGAGTTGTTCTCCACATCGATGCAAAGCTCAAAGCAGCAAGAATATAAAAAATGATGAAGCCACAGGTAAGAACGGTGACCGCAAAAATGTCATTGTCTTTGGTGTTAGTTTTAATGTCAGTCATTAATTTCACTATGCTGGAGATCGTATAATCGAGGCAGATGCTGATAGGAATAAGATACCACACTAAAGCTATGAACATGTAGCCGGTTTTGTACTAAGGATGAGAAAATGAGAGAAAATGAGAAAGAATTTTGGTGTTGCTCTTACTTTTTGGAGTTATTTAGATTCAAGGATCGTGCAATTTAAGTTGAATGCAAAAATATACTTATACAGTTTACTAACTCGAATACATCCAAACAGCCAACTTATGTCAGCCAACATTGTTATGACTGTTGAAAAAGAAGAAATCGAAAAAAAAAAATGAATTTAGTTGTTTAAAACTAAGAGGCTATCTAAGAGCTGTTATTTGAGGAAATCATCACGTCCACAGGTCAGCTTTTGAGCTGATTATCAGCTTTTTGAAAATCTTCAGCTATTATCAGCTATTAGCGGTCACAGTTCAGCTTTTTCAGCTTTTTAAAAAAAATAATGAGAAAACTAATACAAATGATGAAAAAAATCTCAAAGAAAAAAATGCTTATCATAACAAAAATACGCGTTTTCAGACAGCGCAATGAAAAAGTAAACATTTTTTTCTTATGAAGACAATATTAACTCAATCTAATTCTGAATCATTGGCACTGTGCTATGACACGGAGTCATTCTTTCAATTTATCTGAAACGCATTGGTCAGCATATTTACGAATCAATGTAAATAAGAAATTATCGTTTTTATTATTGCTTCGATTTGGCATGACAACACTTGATAGATCATGTTTATAAATCGATGTAAAGAGGCAATTACGAAACTGATAAGAAGAAATTACCGTTTTGTCATTCTCCAAATCGGCAAACACTTGCTAGATGTGAAAATGAGTGCACAAGCATTTTTTGGCCCAAGTGGTAGCTCCAAATATCAAAAATATAATAATGCAACAATCACTTCACATTCGATTTTGGCACGAGTCACATTCCCATTCAAATCAAACAAGTACATTTCTATTGTGAAATAGAATGTCATGCAAAGTTCATAATGATTGGTTTAATTTGGAATTCGAAATGAAAGATAAAAGCAAAGTGAAATACAAAGAATTTTTCAAGAAGGAAGAAGATTTTACGTTGAGATTTTCAGCCTGCGATAGTACTATCAACATCAAAAGCAAAGGATTTGCTGCTGTGACCCAACACTTGATGCGAGATAAACATATTGAAAACATGGAAGTCAAATTTAATTCAGTTAGCAA